TATATATATATATATATATATATATATATATATATATATATATATATATATATATATATATACATATTTATATATATATATATATATATATATATATATATATATATTATATATATATATATATATATATATATATATATATATATATATATATATATATATATATATATGCAGCATTTTTTTGAAGCTTGAGATTGCAGACATAGAGCAAACTCCAAAAATTTAATTTATACTTATGTCAAATAAGGATACTTTGCTAAGAATGGTGGTGGAAACATAAAAACATACTTTTGCTAAGAATGAGTGGTGATTGGAGCCTGGAAACATAAAAAGTTGTAAAATTTGTGAATGTGAGAGCAACAACTTGATAAAAAATTTATTTATTATTCTCAACATTCTTTTTCAAAAGGCCATTGATAAAAATGGATAAATTTTAAATTTCATAAAATAATCACTTAGCGCTCAAAATTATAGCTTTATAAAATTTGTAACCATCTTAAATTGTGGGGGTTTATACTTTATATGGTCATAATTTTTAAACACTAAAAGATTGTTAATAGAATTAAAATTTTACAGATGAATATAAATTTAGTTAATAATAGTAAAAAAAACATTTTTTTTTACATGTTGCTCGGACATTTGGGGCAGGTGTCACAATATTATTAGGGCTTTTTTGTTCCCAAGCTTCAATCACCACAATATTTTGCAAAGCATACTCATTTCACATGAGTATAAACATAATTTTTTTTATTTTGCTTCATAACTAGAAGTTATAAAGCAAAATCAAAAAATGCTTCACTCACCCTCTTATATATATATATATGAGAAAATATTTAAAATACATTCAGAATTAAGAAACTCACATGAACGTGACAGTTCGTGTATATCAGCTTCTTCATTATTTGGTATTCTTGTATCTGTCACTTCTTGAAATACAGGAAGATCTTCTTCTTCTGGATCTTGTCGGGGTAATTTGTGTGAAAATGATCGCTGCAATGTTCTATTTTGTGTATTGTTAATAATCACCATCACATCTATAATTTAATCTTTTACAAAGTTATTAAATTAAATATAATTGAGATTTTTTATATTTATTTATTTATTTGAGTAACTAACAATTAGCTATAACTAAAAATACTAATCATAAATTTTGTTTAATTTTAATAAAAGGGAAACATCTTTACTAATAAAAACCATAAAAGGATCTTAATTACCCATAAAAGGACCTTAATGATTCCTGTGCCCTCCACCCCCCTCCCTCTTCAAAAAAAAATAAAAAAATAAAATTATTAACTAAAAAAACACAAGCGTACAAAACGAAAAAATTGTATAACTGTTGAAATATTTTTTTGTTTATAAAAATATGAATTTAAAAATACACACCAGGTTTCTCTGGAGATGACTTATGCACAACTTGCGGATCTCTTACATTTGAATCTGTTATAGATGCAGGTTGAATAAAAGTGACTGGCATTAATGCAGACTCTCTTATAACTGGTGATGCTTTAGATTCAAGTTCATTCTTTACAGTTGCATTATTGATTTTAAAAGCAATATCTGTGATAAATTTTTTATAAAACTTTTATAATAGTTTTAAAAAATTTTTTAAAAATAACTGTTAAGTATTTATACATATTTATAAACATAAAACAATATATGAAACAGCAAAAGTTATGTTTAAAGCTTTATATATATATATATATATATATATATATATATATATATATATATATATATATATATATATATATATATATATATATATATATATATATATATATATATATATATATATATATACATATATATATACATATATATATATATATATATATATATATATATATATATATATATATATATATATATATATATATATATATATATATTAAAAAATTGTAAATACACACCAGGTTTTTTTAAAGATTTATGAACATCTTGTGAAATACTAGCAATGCCTTCTGTAGAAGGTTGAATGAAAGCCACTGGTGTTACAGTAGGTTCTCTTAAAACTGATTTATCTTTAGACTCAAGTTCATTTTTTACAATTGTGTTATTGATTTCGTTAAGTGTTTTTTCTGCCAATGCTAATGGTGATTCATGTTGAAATGTACTCTCATCATTTGATTCAATATTTTCATGATTTTCTTCACCAATATCTTCAAATTGTGCCACAGTTTTTAAGTCTTCATTTTTCTTCTTTTTCATCGGCAGCTTCATTTCAGTCTTAACTTTAACAAAGTCGGTTTTTAATTTATTAAAAAAATCTACTGAATCTTCTTTATCGTCATTTAAAGATTGTACTTTGCTTACTTTTTTATTAATCTTGTATTGTATCTCTGCATCACTTCCTTTTTCAAACTTTGGCTCAGAATCCAAACTTTCCAAGTTTAATTCATTATGGAGTAATCTTTTTGGTGGTTCTAACTTTTCAAGTTTTTTTGACAAACTAATCTTATTGTAATCAGCTTGGATCTTTTCTGAGGATTGACCAGGCATTTTTTCTGACTGGCCAGGCATTTTTTCCGATTGACTAGATAACTTATCTGACTGACCGGACATTTTTTCTAACTGTTCAGAAATTTTAACATTCATTTTGATAGACTTTGAATGATCAACTTTGGCAGTGTTATTTAGGTTTGTAAGTTGTACAGACTTTTCATGATGAACAGTGTTAAGATTACTATCAGTAATCTTAACAGTGTTAAGATTATTGCTTGTTTTTAGCTGAGATGAAGCTACTAAATTTGGTAAAACTTTGATTGAATCGTTATTAAGTGACAAAGTACTATTAATGGTTCCTCCAGGTAAGGTTCCTGCATGAAGTGATGGCTGGGATTTTACTAAATCTGTTGATAATTTTTCTGTTTTTAAAACAGTTTTTAAAAAATTTTCTTTTAAATTTGGAGATATAGCTGGTTCTACTTTCAACAAAGCTTTGCTTGTGTTTTCCTTTAAACTTTTTTCATTTTGTGTAATATGATTGATACTTAAAGTCAGTGGAGTATTTGAATCTTTAGTGGGGTTAGGGGGATTATTTAAATGATTGACAGAACTTTCTTTAATATCTTGTTTAGATAATGTTTTTTCATGAGTGCTAGTAGCAGTGTTTGAATTATCTAGCTTACCACTTTTCAAATTGACAATTTCTGTATTAGAAACCTTGGAATTAATATCAGCATTCCAGGATAATTGTTCAGGTGCATGTGGGTTAACAAGAGTACCTTCCTCTCTATGTTGGTTTTTTTTTCCACTTTTAAACTCAGAAAATTTAAGATGAGACGGTTTCATTTTATCTAAATCCACACTTTTAGCAATTAATTTCCCTGAAGCATCGTATTCGCTAACCTCTGAGTCCACCAAATTTTTAACTTTTTTACCAAAAACTCGAGACGATGCATCTACATCTTTGTTTTCATTGTCTTCACTTTCTTTATCTTCACTATCTTCAAATTTTTTGTTTTTTTCTTGGTTTTCATCCTTGTCTTTTTGCTCAGAACTTTCATCATTGTCATCATCTTCATCATCATATTTCTTCTTTCTTCGTTTTCTCTTTTTTTTAGGTTCTCGCCATGTGGATGAAGATGCCTCAAAACTTGGACTTCCACCATTAGTATCTGGACTTAAAAATCTTTCCATGAACGCAGCACCACGGTTTCTATCTTTAATTTTTTGTTCATTAGCTTGTGATTGAATTCTTTCATAATGGCGTTGCATTTTTTCAACATACCTGTCATGTTCAACATCGGATTCATCTTTTTCCTGATCTTCTCTTTCACTTTCCATTTCATGAGCTCTTTCTTTTAATGGACTTTGATGGTGAATGTTGATATTATTTGGATGAGCAAGATCAGTTTCATCTCCATTAATTAGAGAACTATGTGAAAGATTACTAAATGGTATCCCTTTGTGTCTATGTCGTTTTGGAGAACTTAAGTCCAAGACATTCTCATTGTGACTTGGCTTTTTTAAATCATCATCTTCTAAATCCAAGTCATCTTCTGCTTTTGATCTCACAGTAAAGAGTTTATTAGGGATTTTTACAGGATTTCTTTTTGATGCAGAGCTATGAATTACCAAAGGATACTCTGCAGATTTAGAAGATTTTTGAACTTCTAAATTAACTTCTTGGTTATTTACATTTTCATGAGTTAATTTTCCATATTCAGAAGCAAATGAAGTATCTTGATGCGTTTCTGTAGGCAAATGATCCATTTGCTTTTCTTGATGTATTCCTTCTTCACTTCTTGTCTGCAAGCGTTGTCGATCTTCCTCAGTTATATCTTTCATTTTGTTGAATATGGCTTCATGACTTAAAAACTTTTCCTTGTCATCTAACTCAAACTTACTTATTGAAGGCAGTTCACTGTTAGAAACTGAAACAAAACAATTAAAGTTTAAAAAATGTAAAAGTAAAAAACAGTTAAAAAACAAAAGTTTTAAAACACCATATAAACATTAAAAACAAAAACAAAAAACTATGAAAAATAAAAAACATGTTATTTTCCATGCTGTTTATATAATTAATTAAAAAATTGTTTTTAAGGAAAAAACCATTCACCTGAAACATGATCAGCATCTTTAATACACTTATTAATGCAAATTTTTCGACTATCAAATTGTGGAACATTTTCAGTAAAACCATCCTTTGTTGCCTGGGGTGAATATCTTGCAACTATATAAGTACATAAAAGATCACCTTTTTTTTTAGTTGCCCTTCCCATCCCTAAATAGTTAGTATTTTTCCATACAAGTTGTGCAAACTGTGTTATTTCTGAAGAAAAGTGTGAGGGATCTTTTTCATCTTTACAAGCTTTATTATACCTGTATAATAAAAAAACGAATAAAAAAACCTAATAATAATAGCAAGTAGTAATCAATGTAGATAAGTTAGATAATGTAGGTAAGATAGTCAATGTAGATAAAATAGATAAGATAGTCAATGTAGATAAGATAGTCAAATTAAGAATTCAAAACAAGAAATGCCTGTACAAAATTATGGCTTTTATACAAAAATTGTAGCCTACCAATATATAACAGCTTCTTTAGCTGACAAAATTGACCCATCATCTGAACATCGAACTGCAATGTTTTCACCTTGCCCAGGACGATCACGGGGGTCAGAGTAAGAAAGTTTTGGTGCGTTTGCCAACACCTCTGAATAATTTTGTGCCTCATTGTTTAGTATAGTATTTAACTCAAGTGGAGGTGTTTGATGAACTCTACGAAAAGTCTGATGTTGATGCAAACCATTTGAACGAAAAGAATTCAAATCTATAATTTATATTTAAATCAACATTTCTATTTACAAAATTGTTTATCTTATACAGTTGTTATAAGCAGAATAATCAATAACTAATAAGTTATTTTCTGACCTTCATCTTTGCATAATGGATCCATTGAATTGGTACAATTTGCCACTTCTGATAATTGGACTGGATCACAATTAATTTCTTTTTGGGGTTTTAATAAAGCATCTTGCATACCATGCTTGAATTGTTTTGAGGGTTTTATATATTCTTCTTCTTGTAGCTTCATGCCCAATTGAGAATTAAAATGAGGTGCAAGAATTTTTTCTAATAATCCATTATTCAAAGAATTATGAATGCTATTGCTATTTTCATTGTATAAAGAAGGTGACAAGGATGAAGCATGAAAAGGTGAAAAATGTTGACTGATAGGTTTTGTCAAACTTGTTCCCTTTGGAGCATTTCCAACAATTTTTCCTTTAAATTAAAATTTAAATAAAATACACAACAATAAAAAATAACAAATAAAAATTGAAAAAAAATTAAATTAATAAAAACAAATTTAAAAATCATAAAAGTAATTATACATACCCACTAACATCTCTTCAGAATCTTGAAGCCCCTGCATATCTTTGTACTCCGATGGAATCGGGTCATCATAAAGCAGTCTATTGGCACCATTAAGTTCCATTGTGTCTAGAAGTTCAATAAATATGATTTGAAAAATATAATAAGATATGATATGAATTTAACTAATTATACAGGGCTGTAGGAACAAAAATTATATTGGGGGGGAAGCAGTACTACCCCGAAAAAGTTTTAAGGACCTTTTTTTTTTTTCTTTTAGTCATTTTCTTTTTTTCAGTCAATTTCTTCAAAATTATATATTTGAAAAATAATTGGGGGGGGGGGGCAAATTATCCTGCTGCCCACCCGGTTGCTACGAGTCTGTTATATATATATAGTAATAACTAGTAATATTTAATAGTAAAAATATATTTTAAAACAAAACATTACTTACTAATTAAATCTGTATCTTGATTAGCTGAATATTGTGAGTTGTAACTCGGAAAAGTAGATTTTGCAGAGTTTAAAAAGCGATAAGAAGCTTGAGATGGTTTTAATAGTTGATCATCAAAAAAAACAGCTGATGGCATCCTGTGATCAGATATAAATTCTGAGGTAGGTTTTTGGTACAGACTAACCAGTGTTTGTGATGGAAACACTAACATATCTCTCTTTAAACCTCCAATATCAATCCAATTTTCATTATTTACAGGACTAAATATTTGATTTTTTGGAATTTGTTGTGAAAAAGTTTTAACAGTTTTCATTGATATTGAATGTTTTTTTGCATGATTTCTAAATGTGCGTTTATGAAACAACACATTTTTAACATCTTGATTTTTAGATCCCGATGATCTTACAATAAAATGATCCTTTTTATTTAAATCCCATTTATTGAAGTGAGCATCTCCAAGATAAAAAACTAAAAAGAATAGTAATCATTGCAAATTCCTTAAAATTAGAAAACAAAACAAAAAGTAATTTTAAGAAAGTATTTTACCTTTTTACATAAGCTAAAAAACAAATAATAAATAAAAGCTCAAAGTGACTTGTTTTGTACATTTTAATTTTTAACTAGTTCACCAGTGGTAACATTTAATTTATAAGCAACAGTTAACAAAAATTAGAACTTTAATATAGTAAGTAGATGTAACTAAACAAATAGTTTAAGTGGTGTTTGAATGCTGATATTGCAGAAATCCAAGAAGCTATAAGCAGATTATTCAAAATTATGTCAAGATGAAAAGTTTTTTGGAAACTAAATTAAATAGAACAAAGAAGATTTGGAGGAAACATGCTGCAGAAATTAAATTGCAACTCGTTTGAGAAAGTTGTACAAAATAAAAATTTAACCAAAAAAAAGTCTACCTGTATTATTGTGTAGAGGAGGGAGGGGATTAAAGAACGACTTCACATCTATTGTTTACTTAACATTACATGCTATGATTTACAAAGACAATCAGATGCTACTCTCCTTGATCAAGAAAATGTTAAAAACTATTGTAAAAGTGTGCCACAAAATTAGCACAATTTAGTTAGTCTACTGTAATTTTTATCATTGGGCTAAAAGCGCTGTAGGCTATGACGCTTTGTTGGCTTACATACTACCAGCTAAAAGTTATAGCTGGCAGCGTTAGGGTGGGTTAGGATTATCCCAAGCATCCTGTTGGCAGAAGGGTATTGATCAGTTTGGCTGATCATTACTAAATCATTGTGATAATCTCATAGCACATATTTAATTACAAAGGATAGCAATCAGTCGAGCCACTGTAATTTAGGCTGTAAATAATATTTAGACCTAACGTTGCGTTATGGTTCAATAGCATCAGAAAATAAGTTCTCAATTTTTATCAACGTCCCTATTCAACTAGGTTGGCATTATTTTGGACCACTGCAGTGGTCCAAAGCAGCAGTGCACTATTAAGCATTTCATACTCTTCATCCTTTACAGAGTTTATCTCTTACCAAAAAAAAAAGTAAAATGTAAAATGTTGTCAGTGAGCAGTTTAACTTGTTAGTCAATTAAATACAAATTTAATTGACTAACAAGATAAACTGCTCACTGAATTAGATTAATACTAGTAATTATTTTGAATTAAAAGAATTGCTAGTATTTTTGTTCTAGCTAACAGTATTTTGGTTTGTTTTTCTTTTAAAATAAACCAAAATACTATTAACCTCAACAAATCCTGAAAGCCCGTATGCACGCAGAATAGCGGGTTATTTTTTGAAGCTCTCTGGCTTTTGCACAAGCCAAAACAGATATTTAAAAAAATAGAATATAAAAAATTAAGAGTTGTGTATGTAAATTCTTTATAATACATGAGAAGAAATCAAAACTGTTTTTCAGGTTTTGAAATCATCTTAAAGGTATTTTTTATCTTGATAAGTAATAATATTATTCATCAAAAAAATTATCGACTTTAAAAAGGTTTTGACACATGAACAGCTTTTGCTTTACATCTTTTCATTTAACTATCAAGTATTTATATTTTTATATACCTTTAAGAATTTATATCATAGACTGTATGTACATAGATATATGTACAAGTCTATCAATATATAATACACATATTTTTTTTTTTAAGAAACCAAGCGAGTAGACTAGTAATAGAAAGTTTCTTGTTATAGGAGTTCTTTTTTTCTTAAATGTTTTTTAAATGTTTCTTAAGCTTGTTGCTTTTTTATTTTAAGTGTCTCGGATAGAATATTCGGCCGGATATCCGAACCGGTTATTGGTTAATTAAGGTTGTATTTCATGCAAATAATAAATGAAAAACTTGTTTTTACTATTACAACAGTCTTAAAGATACATAGTGTGGACCCTAACCATAACCCTAACCCATATAGACTCTAGATAATCGGTATCGCATAAGTCAATACCGAGAAGAATGGTCTCGTATCGCGTGGTATCGTCTATGTACCAATCTTGATGCTATCAGTATCGCTTCGATACCAAACGATGCCGATAATTAAAAGGATCGTATAGTGTCGCATGGTCTCGAATCAAGACTCTAAATAAGACAAAACAAAAATAATTAAAATGTGACTTTTGAATTTTTTTATTAACAAATCAAAGGGAAAATTGCTTTTTAGAGATTTAATTATTGTTTTTTTAACAATCTACAATATTTTGGCTGTCGTCCATTCGTTGTTTTTTCCTTTGCTGTACTTTTGCTGGTACTTTAGGATTTTCTTCTATTAATATTTTAATAATTTTGGGGGCATTTACTGTAAATTTTACATCTAAACAATGTCAAATGAAAATAAATTCAAAAATATTAATACCAATAAAGACCCTTTGATTGGCGTTAATTTAATTTTTTTGTTTTTTACAATTAGTTAGTAGATATCTATATATGAAACAAAAAAAATTCAGAGTGGGCAGACATACAACCTGGCGGTCAATTTAGCACACCGTGCTTTGAGCGTTCTCTCTAAAAATCAGTCGATTTATAAACTATTGCTCCACCAAATAATTTTTTTTAAGTTGATTAAGGTGCCCCAAGAAGTCCTTACGGTCTTATCACAGAGCTCCGCGGAAGAGCATTTAATGGGAAGTTCACGCCTCCTTCCCAACCGATGTAGCAAAACTTGCTCAGAGGTGGGGTTTGAACCACAGATCTTACGTTTCTGAGGCAAGTGCGCTACCACTGCGCCACGGCTGCATAAATAAATAATTTTTTTTTAAATCCTAATAGTTAATAAACAATAATAGTTATAGCGTAAAAATAAACTGCATTTTTAATTAACAAAAACTAAAAAAATTAAGCCCTTCGGAAAGACTTGAACATAGATCCACGGACTCACTGGCCATAACTTTATCCGTTTGGCCACGCAAACTTCTACGATATAGAGTTAAATTGTTATATATAAAACTAATTATGCCGGTAATGAATCTCAGGATTATTTCCCGGCATTGTGAGAATTAGTTTTCTTTTACAACTAAAGTATACTTATTTTTAATTGTTTAAAACTAAAGTTTAGTTGATGAATATTGAACACAGAACGAAAGACCAGGCGAGAATCACGATACCACATGAGATTTAATTAAAGTAACGATACCAGATGAGAAAATAAAATATGGATGCGATATCACACAATTAAATAAATTTAAATAACTGTAATGACTGTTACGAAATCAATTCCCTTTAAACAATCATTTCTCATACTCTTTTAGAATAATCATTAACGATTGCATCACAAGCACTTTTCTTTCGAGGATTATACGAAAAACTCTCTTGATAGTTACAATTCTTTAATGATAATTACAATTAATGATAGTTACTAAGTTCCTTTGAACAATCGTTTCTAATACTCGTTTGGAATAATCGTTTAAGATTCCATCACAAGTAATTCTCTTTGGAGAATTATATGAAAAACTCTCAGAATTAAATGTTGAAGTTTCTAAATTAAATAAATTTAATCTATTTAGAAGCTTCAACATTGAAGATTTAGGAGAAAAAAAAAACAAATTTAAATCACCCTACAAACTCCTTGAACAACATTGAAAATTTAGTAAGTGATGAAGTTCATGAAATACCAAAAAGCGCAGATAATGAAATGTCGAAAACTATTAGTGAGCAACTGAATGAAGCCCTAGCAAAGGATTTTCTAGCAACACCCAGAAATTCTTTGTCAAGATTAAAAACTCTTACTTCTAAATTATCCACACAAATACCACTGTTTGAAAGTAGTTGTACTTGGGGTGAGTTGATTTTTTAATGACGATTAAACCAACGACTGTAGAGTCAGAAAAAGAATTTTCCTCCGCAGGACTATTTTGCAATAAAGTAAGAAGTCACTTAAGTGATAATAGTTTAGATAGTTAGTGATAATAGTTTAGATAGCAAGTGATAATAGTTCAGACAAATAAATAACTTTAGGTTGTTTAAAAGACGTTGAGGTAAAAATCTTGATCACTTTTCTCTGAAGAAGATACTGGCGATGCTAATAATTTAAATACTAGATCTTTTAGCAATATATGATAACTAACCATTTACTATAACTTATACTAATTGGTTGTTTATCTAAAGCAATCATCATAGTTATTTTTTATAGCTATTCGCTTTGACATTTTATCATTAATATCCCGTATCATTTTGATGAATACTTTAATTGAAATTAACTTTAGATGTTAAACTTTCGATGTTAATTGAAACTAACTTTAAATTTTAAATGTGATATCTGTCTAACTTTGATAGATATTTGTCTAACTTCGATAGACAGCTTTATCATTTTTTTTTTTTACTTTTAACATGCTACCTTTTGAATTCAAAGTTGAAGAACTCGAAGAAGAAGTTGAAGAACTCGAAGAAGAAGTTGAAGAACTCGAAGAAGAAGTTGAAGAACTCGAAGAAGAAGTTGAATAATTCGAAGAAAAAGTTGAAGAACTCGAAGAAGAAGTTGAAGAACTCAAAGAAGAAGTTGAAGAACTCGATAAAGAAGTTGAGGAACTCGAAGTGTTGGAGAATTCAAAGGTTAAATTTTATTTTTTCTTTCTTTTTCATACAATTTTAAATCAAATTTTTTGACGTGATAATTTTTCGAATCGTTGAAAACGATTTTTAACTAGAATTATTAGATCTCCTGCTTATTTGATTTCTACATAGAATACAAGCTGTTGTCAATTAAATAGGGATTTATTTTACAAAATAAAACTTTTTATTTTAGAATGTTTACCCTGGCGGTATTTTAAAATATTTGACGTCTAAATACTCTTTGAAGATTTTGTAATAAAAACAACTTTCCGTAGATACAAAGACATCCGCCCGGATAACTTTTAATTATCCGTTTTCCAATATCCAACCAAATATTTAAAAAAATGCTTTCCAGCACATCTCCGTATATGAGAAATGGGTTAGGGTTAGGGTTAGAAAACTATTTTTTTTATCATGTTAAAAACGCCGAATTTTTTTCCAGAAAGTGATGATTTGCAGAAAGCATTAATATTTGTTTTCATTTGAAGAAAAATAGTTTTAAGGTTTCAGAGATAATGATTTTGATGTGAGAAATGAGGAACGTGAAAGATTGTCAAAACATTTTGAAGCATTGAATTGCAAGCAATATAGGATAAAGATAATACTTTGAGTCAAAAGCAAATGGCAGCAATCTTAAATGTTGCATAAAAAACGATTTCTGGCCGTTAAAAAGCTAAGAAAAAGGTTTAAAAGTATGAAAAGTAGATGCCACATGAATTGAATAAATAACAGAATAAGAAAATAACAAAAAATTATTAATGCTAATCGTTACAGACAACAAATAATTAATTTAAACCATACATTGATCAAAAAACGATCAGATAGGACTTAAAGACACGGCAAAGTAATTTAGTTACACGACAATTCACTTGCACACTGTGACTGCTACCTCATCTGCTGTGTTCACCAGAATTAGCCTCTATTTTCTAACATTTATTTTTATTGATGGGAAACGCATTGGTTGAGCAGCACTTTGATTCCATCGAAGTAGTTGAATTTAGGTGTCTGATTGTTTTGCTTCAAAAGGAGAACATTTCTATTGGCGTGTTATCCACAAATTGCTAGAAAAGTGGTCAAAATGTGTAGAAAGCAATGGTCGATACTTTGAACAAGTAACTTTTACTTTTTCATTTAAAACTAGTTTTTCATTTTTACATAAAAAACCCTTTCATATCGGTACACCTGGTAGTTCTAATACTTTTGAAATCATATTAAACAGATCAAACACACTTGCAATTTTATTTTAAAATTTATTGGATCAATTTTTTTGATATTTTTTTATTTTTATTTTAATTATGTGCCCTAAGAAGTCTTCCGGTCTTATCACAGAGCACCGTGAGCATTTAATTGAAAGTTCACGCCTCCTTCCTAACCAAATTCGCAAAATTTGCCCAGAAGTGAGCTTTGAACCTTGATTCCTTTGTTTCTGAGGCAAGTACGATACCACTACGTCACGTCTGCTCAACTCTAACTCTAACCCTAAATATGGAGACCTTTGATTGACTCTTGTTGTAAGCAGAGACAAAGATGAGGTTTAAAGCTGCACTTGTACCTTTTTTTATAAACTGACAGCATTACCGTGACGGGAGTTGTTATATAAAATTAAAAAAGTTATTCAAAATTTATTACAAAATATTTTCTGTTTTCGATCCTTGAAAACAAATACTGATTTATAAAAAAGACCTTTATAATGCTGGCAATTTGGTGCAAATCCTTGTTGCTGCTGCTGCTGCTCTGTTATTACATTAGCTGTATGTTTTAAATACTTTGTTAACTTTGGTATTTTTTCTAAAACCTTGTTTTGATTTTCCAACCGTTCTGTTTGTCTTTTTCTATTATCTAAGCCACTTTTATTTTATTTTCTACATTTAACTGAATTTTAATTCTGGACAATAATTGCATTAAAAACTTGGTTACTACTGGTATTAAACAAGTTTAATACCAGTAGTAGACATACAATCAAGATTTCATTTTTTTTTCTGACAACTTCTGACAACAAAATAAAAATTTTACCCATGGCTGACATAAATAGGTAAAACAAATAAATATAAAGTAAAAAAAAATTAAAGTAACAACTTTAAGTTTTATTAGTTTTCATTTTAAATTAAATATTTTGAAGTTGAAAAAAAATCAACTAAATAATTAATACTAAATATAAGAAATAAAAATAGTTAATACTAAGTATAAGAAATAAAAATAAATAATATTAAATAAATAAATATAAATAATAATAAATATAATAAATAAATATAGATAATACTAAGCATAAAAAAGCTTTTCAAAAAATTTATGAACAAAAAATAATCAGAGTGGTCATAATTTAATCTTACACAGAAGGAAAATTTCCAAAATGTTTGCTTTCATGTTGATCTACTTAGAGACGCAAGTCACAAACCAGTCTACAAAGAAACAAGTCAACACGCACTGAATAAAAGGGTTTTTTGTTTTTATTAATTGATTTTTTAATAAAAATGATTTGACAGAAAAATCTAAAACTACTGTTTTAAATAAAAAATAAATTATTTCAAATGTTATAAATAAAAAAATTGAAATAAAAAAATTGGGTTGAAAATAATTAATTTATCATCTAAATTGAAAAAATATTAATTTCTTCCTTTTGATTTATCCGGTGACGCGACAACGACAGGACAAACCTACCTCTTTAAAATATCTCAATCATACCCAGCATTAAATAATAGTCAGATAATTTTTTGAATTAAATTTTTACCCATAAAAAAAATGTTTAAATTGTCATTTAAAAGTTTCTTTTCAATATATGTTTGACTAATTTCATAATTTAATTCACTTATAACTAATTAAGCTCATTTTCTAATTATCAAATATTTGGCATATTATTGATAAGAAAATAATCAGCTCACCATGAGGGGTTTATTGAAGCGTGCAAGTAAAATTGACACTCAGCACAGCAAGTGTAACCATGGGTATCGTATAAAAGTTTGTTTTTTAATATGTTTATCTGGTTTAATACAATTTTATTTTGTTCATCTCGAAATTGAATTTGACAAATATATTTGTAAAAATTTTATTTAATGTTTTATTGTTTAAACTTTGTATATCTTGTCAATAATTTTGTTGATATTTAATTATACAGAAAATGCTAAAATAGTTACATAACCGCATTAGTTTGCATAATTGAAAAAGTTATGTACATTTATACAATATAATTATGCACCTACACCAGTTATGGTGCAACCCAACTACAGTCAATGATGCGCTATAGCAGCATACGATGGTCAAATAGCTTCTTAAATTCAGGGACTTATTTATTTGCCTTAACTTCTTTTGGTAATTTATTCCATTCCTTAACTAATCTGTTCGTCTTTCTAAAAAGGGCCTAGACCGTAGCCTAAGTTCTCAATATTATGTAAATTAATTTTCGTTTTTGTTTAAGGTAATTTATACATTGGTTTGTTTTTAAAGAATACTATTTGTTGACTAGATGTATATTAAATTTATTTATAAATTTTTTAGGAGTATGGTTGGTACATTTTTTTTTTCATATTTGTTTATCATTTTGATGTTTTTTATTCAAGGTTTAGTATAGTCGCTTCAAATTGTTTGGTGTAAATAATTTTTTTTTATAAATAAAGATTTTTTTTCAGTTTTGTTCGTTGAAAACTTTCCCAGTAATATTTGTACATAATATATAAATATAAGTAATGTAAAAACGATATAAGCAAAAGTTTAGTAGAAGATCTTGAAAAATTTACATATGAACGAATTTAGTACATTATATCAATCCTTTTCTAGATTATATATATTTTATGCCATGATAAATGTTCATCAACTCCTAAAAACATGATCTTGCTTTTTAGTAATTTAATTAATAATTTCTAGGGGTTTTAGAAAGGTAGGGGAGAGTCGGGTAGCCCCGGACACTTAAGGAAAATATAGAGTGTACACATGTGCTAACATAAAACAAAGTGTCAAAAGATGTTTTTTAAAAGTTCAAACATTAATTTATCGAATTAGAAACAAAAAAGTAATTATTGTGTATCTTAATAATATACAAAATATAAAAGAAAAAATGTTAGAAAAACGGCATGTTTTAAAATTGTAGGGTAGCCCCCGGACACATAGTTTAAACATGATTTTACCTCTTTTTTACCAGTATAACACAAATGTAATAATTTAACATTGGACTGTTCTCGACACATTTTTAAAAAAATCGCTTTTCAAAATTGCCATCGATATATAAGGAATGAGAATGAAAATGTCATCATTTAAAAATATAAACATAGGTTTTTTTATAATGGAAATAAACCCTTTAAAAACACTTTTTTCAAATCTAATGTTTTTTTTATTGGAATTAAATAAGTTACTATTATAGATTTGTGCATTATATTAAATGTATTAATATTTATATAAAAAATGTTGTTTATTATTATTATGTAAACGAAATAAGTTGTCCGGTGCCACCCTCCAATCATAGGTCCGATACCACCCGATCATACCTCATTCACAAATACTAGTTTTAAAACCAGTGAATTTATATTTTAAACAAATTTTTTTTTAATAAGTATTGTAAATAAAATTGCATCTTTAATCATTAAAAAGTTATTAGCGTACATAACAATTAGGTATATTAATATGTGAATCAAATATAATGATACGTCGCTCTTCTGGTGATGCGAAACAAAATCTTGCCCTCCCAATCATTTGCTTCAACATATTATGATAGATTTTTTGCATATGCCATATTTTCACTCAAATAATGTTATTATAGTATTAAAAGTAATATAACTTCTTTAGTTTAAGCTGTACATCAAGTGTTCGGAGTTACCCGCCGTCGGGGGCTACCCGACTTTCCCCTACTTACCTAATGTTTTTTTATGCAAATAAGTATAATATGTTTTCTAAAGAAAAATAAAGAAAAACAAAGAAAATGTTTTTAGACCTAAACCCATTAATTTCTTTTTTTAATTCAACATTCATATCAGCACATTGTTGATTTATATTGCTACTAGATAAAAATAAGACTTGTATTGCAAATCTGATAAAATTTATATAACTGATGCGTTAATAAAATCATTTATATAAATTAAAAATACAGTCTAGGATAAATATTCTCTCTCATTAAGTTTTTTATATTATTTCTTGTTTGAAGTAAACATACTATTTCTAAACAACTAAGCGGTTTCTTTCTCGTAAATTTATCCTGGCTTACCTATATAAATATACAGTCAAATGTTACCAGAACTATTGGCGTACCATACGTCAATATTTAAGTCTCTAATGTATTCATTTGAGACTTTTTGGGCTAATCCAATGTTTTATTAATTATGCAAATATATTATGGGCAAGTACGCAAACAACAAAACTTTAAAAAAATTATAGGCTACAAAAACATGCTTACCTAATTATATACTTTAAACATAAACGAGAACATGCAAAACCTCTAATAAATGATATGAAAATCATGAATATTTTTGAAATAACTATTTATCAGCATCTGGTTTTAATGTGTAGATACAACAAAAACCTCTCGCCAGCAAACTTTAACAATATGTTTGAAGTAAATCTAAATAAAAAGTATAATCTAAGATCAAATAGAGACAACAACTATAAATTGCCTCAAAAAAGTAATAAACTCTTAAAATTTTGTACATCTTTGCGAATACATAAATAATGGAATGACTGTCAAAAGGAATACAAATTTATGGTGAAGTCCTTAAATTTATTTAAATTTCAAACAAAAAAAAAAGAAATTTTCAAAATTTAATCACAAGAAAAGTTTTTTTTTAATTAATTTATTTTTGTTTTGACCTATTTTAACGGTAAGTTATTATTCTTATTTTTTACACGAGCTTTTTACCATTATGATAAATTACTGAAACTTGTACAGAGGGGCGAAGTGAATATCTGATTATCTTTATCTTCTTTGAGCCCTCTGCTTTAACTTTATTTTGTTGTAAGCCCAGTATATACTTTTTTATTTTATTTTATCGATATGTATACATGCATTACAAAAATATTTTTATACTAAGGTTTTAAAGAGAAAAAAAAAAAATGCTGTTTAGGTGTATTTAAAACACAATTTCTCGTTAACAAAACATCGTTAAATAATAAATTTTCTTTTGAAGTCTTAAACACTTCTTTAGACTTTTTTAGGAATAATTTTTTTTCTTTTAAAAATCTTTTTTCCTGAAAATTATACTAAAACAATTTTACACACTCTAAATTCGTTAAATTGTACCAAAATATTTCTTTATCTTTGACATGCTGAAAATGGTACCGAAACAATTTTTCACTTGTAAAATTTTAAAAATTGTTTAAAAGTTTTTTTTTTTATTACCGAATTTCTACAAAATTGCATCCAAATGTTTTCATAATATTAAAAAAATCTATAAAATAGAGTAAAACAATTCATAGCACGATTCTAATTTAGCTTTTGTCTTCCAATTGTGAAAATGAGTCAATAACAGTGACGGATCTAGAGGAGAATAAGGGAAATTTACCTCCCAATTAGAATGTTTTTTAAAAAATATTTGTTTTAGGTGCCCCAAGATGACCTAACAGTCTTGTCACAGAACATCGCAGAAGAGCGTTTAAAGTGGTACACTACTAAAAATAATACTGATTTTGGAGTAAAATTTCAAAATTTAGTTTTTGGTATCATTTTTTTCCAAATGTTATCCTCTTTCATTTGATATAAAAGCTGATATTTGATATTTAATAGTAAAAAACATGTATTTTTCATGAGTTATTTGTTTTAATAACGGGAGTAAAAGTATTTTGAGTGTTTTAAACTTTGACTGGGTAACAGTCATAACATCTATTCAATTTGACAAATCTTGTGTGAAGCAAATGAAGCGAAAGTCAATACAAAGTGTATAAAACAATTCAAAAAGTTGAAATCAGTAGTCAAAGGGTTCAGTGATAAACAAAAGTCCAATAAAACTAATCTGTCATATGTTTTTGGCCGACATTAAACTAGATTTTATTTGAAAAAAACTTTAAATGTGTTTTTTACAAAATTTTTTAATTTTTAAATGTAATTTTTACAATTTTTTTATAACTGGTTTTTGTAATACTAGGGTAACTTTGAAACGTGATATCTTTACATTGGCTAATGATTTTTCACTGAAATTTTCAGGGTATACTCAGTATACATCAGAAATTTGGTTAAAGAAAGGATTTTTGAAATTTTTTTTCAACTTTTTTTAGTAAAGAAATTATTTTAAATAATTTGTTATTGTATTGAAGATAAGTCCTTAAAATAAAAATCCATTGGTCAACCGTAAACATTACAATGCTTCAACGAAAGAAAATCTATATAAGGAAAGATATTACGTCACAAAGTTATTCAATTTTAGGCATTTTTTAGACAGTTTTTCCGCCACTATGGAATTTTTGTTCAAAAAAAATTTTTTGAACAAAAATTTTATTTCAGATATTTTATTAAATATATATGACAACAAAAATATTAGTGTTTTGCTTTATTATAATTTTTTATTAAAAAAGTGATTTTTTTAGAGTACCACCTTAAATAGAAAATTCGCTGGATCTCTTTGTTTTAAAGCAAGCGCTCAAACCACTGAAGCTTTTTTTTCCCGATTTTTCCTTGCCTCATCAAACAATACCGTGTAATAATAATAATATGAATAATATACTTTATGATTCATAAAGGCTTTATAAATTAATTTATAAAGCCTTTTTATTAAAAAGCTTTATAAATTAATTTATAAAGCCTTTTTATTAAAAAGCTTTATAAATTAATTTATAAAGCCTTTTAATTAAAAAGCGTATTGGTGCTGATCATTTATTAGCCTTATTAAAATTTACGTAATGATAATAAAATCTATATTGTTTATGACCTTTTATATTGTTTACTTTAACAATATGGCCTGATTACCGTTTTTTTTATAAGTTTAAAAATAAATTCTATCATTATATGATTTTAAAGTTTATAAGTGCAGGTATCGCCATTATTTAATACCATCCGCGTAAGGTGATATTCCAAGCTTTAAAAATGTTTGCTCCGCCAGCCGGATTGGACCTACCCTTAAAAGTTAACGGAAGCCGTCACCCGTTTATTTTGATTTTAAAAAATAGTTGTTGATATTTTGAAATAACATTTCAAAATTTTAACGTTGAAATTTTCAAAATAGTCTAAACTTAATATGCTATATTTTTGTCTATTTTTTTCAATGTAATGATAAAGTTAAAACAACGGTATTATATGCAGGTAGTTCTGTTCTACCAGTATTCTAAACCTTCAAACTAAATATAATGGTTGATTGTTTCTTATCTCACAATCAAGTTTAGATTTAATCTTGTTTTCTGTTAGTGCTAGGCCATTGGTTCATTAACGAATTCTAAATATTTAGGATTTTGATGAAACGAAGTTTTCTTTTTTTTTTTTTTTTTTTTTTCATACTTTAACTTGATCTTCATTAACCGAAATTATATGACAATTTCAAAAATGATAATTATATTGTAAAAAACTTATTGAATAAAATTATTAAAAATGCATTTTTTCCATTTAGTTTAGTTAATAAACTTCATTTTTTACGCTGTTAAATCTAATATATTTATTTTTATATAATATAAATATCATTTTAATAATTTTCATATAATTTCGAGCTTCATTTCGAAACCTAACAACTTTTTTTTTGGTAATATTAGGAGCTTGTTAAATGTTCAAGGATCTTGAGGGACTCCTAAAAATATTTTTTATTCAAAAATTTTTTAAATCTAGTGTTTTTTTATCATGTAGAACACATTAAGGGGGTAGATACATATATATGTCTAAAATGTTGTTTTTTGGGACACCCAAATACATACATACATACATACATACATACATACATACATACATACATACATACATACATACATATATACATACATATACATATATATATATATATATATATATATATATATATATATATATATATATATATATATATATATATATATATACATATATACATACATATACATACATATATATATATATATATATATATGTATATATATATATATATATATATATATATATATATATATATATATATACATACATACATACATATATATATATATATATATATATATATATATATATATATATATATATATATATATATATATATATATATATATATATATAATAAAGAATAATAAAAAAAAGAAATGAATTTTTTTATTTCAATAAATGATATCCTACATATTTAGATTATTATACCATCATCACCGTATGTTTTTATCAATAAAATTTTATGCAAGGTTAAGAGTGCTTAAATGTTTGTGTATTATCCTTGCAAGATTAAAATTTGATTAACACTTTCTTACCAAGGAAAAATTTCTTTTTATAATTTTCCAAGAAAATTATCAATCATGTTAGGCTGCATGAGATAAAATAGTCTGTACTAGGTTATATGTTAGACTAATGTGTTACTAGGTTATATGTTAATTTCAATTGGTTTTTATACACTATTATGTTTTCTTATTGTTTTAATCAATTTTTAAATTGTAAAATTTTAATCTATAGATGTACCTAATGTACCTATTAAATAAATAATCCAAGAAATGGCTGAGACACCTGCACCTGGATTCAATGCTCGTGTTGGCATGCGTGTTGAAGTCATAGGAAAAGATCAAATCGGTAGTAATTTTTTTCTAAAACTAATAGCATTTACAAGACAATTAAGAGTTATATCTTATTAAGTTATTGTTATATATATAAAATGTCCAGCAACACAATTATAGATAATATAAATATAAGATAATATAATCACAGTCTTCAAAATTATTTATTATTTATTTATTTATGCAAGATTATTTTATTTATTTTGTTTACTTCTTTAGTTAAGTTTTATTAGTAATTAAACTTAGATGGAGATTTTCTAGTACAGGCTAGCCAAAAGTTTTAATATCTGATAAACTCTGAGTAGTAGTACAATTAGGGTATTGTGTTATGGGTGGTGCAATTTTGGTATTTGTAGTTGTTTTATTAGGAAACAGTAAATCATTATAGCAGATGAAAATTACAATCATTTGTTGATACTAGTTTTTGATACTAGTCAACTCATTTCTCCGCGCAGCGGCCTTGTTCGTCAAGGTTCGTGTTTCGGAGTTATAGAGTTGAGAGAGGGTTATAGCCACAAAATAAGTAGCCTCCTCGTTTGTAGTGGCCTTCTCGGCCTTGAGGAGGTGAAGTAAAATAAAAAAAAAAAAAAAAAAATTTTCATCAGCCTTTATGTTATTCCCAGTTGTATCATCCTCTTTGGATAGAAAAAAATGCTTTATAGCTTTCAGGTAGTTGAAATATTCCTTTAATGTAGGCAGTTGCACATGGTGCTATATTTCATATTGATACAGTGTCATTTCTGCAATTTGTTTATTTTATATGTGCATAGTGGGGTTATATGTTTTCAAGCAAGGTAATCAATTCTAATAGCAGGTCTTCTTTCAATTGCAGGTGATTTTTGTGCAAGGCAGTATTACTAGAGTTTACTAGAAAGTCTGGAAAATTAACTGTGACTGTTCTTCATTTGAAAGCCATCAGTTTGTTATTTGGGATAGAATTAGTAGCTGTGCCTAGTAGTGACCTAATTGAGAATAAAGCTGCAGGAAGTACCAGTTTCCAGTCAGTTTTTTCTAGCTCAAAACTTTGTAAGACTAAGTTTATAGTTTTCATTATGGTGGAGTCTAGTCTTTTATATTAACTATTTCCTTGTGGTTAATAAAACATTGTTTGAATCTAGTTGACACCATTGCTTATAAGGAAGTTCTTTTGTTTTCTTTCTTCGAACTGTGTACCTCAATCAGAGTGAATGCAGACAGGGATGCTGAAGAAAGAATATTTCTAAAAGGTGTTTTATTACAGTGTCAGACCAAAGGAATGAAAATGAGTATATGGAATACTCATCAATTATGTAGGAAAAGGGTCTTTTCTACAGTCTAGTAGAGAAGATAAGTTGACCTGATAGGGGTTGAAAAAATATTAAATTGAGCTCACTTTATAGATATAATCAGAAATTATATCTATAAATTCACCAATGTAGTAGTTCAGTTGTGTAGTTCCTGGATGACATAGTTTGATATGCATTTGTTATAGTGTACTAAGATTGGTATTTGTGGTGAGACATTAAGTAAAAGCACCTTTAGCAAAAAAAATTTCAGTCCAAGAAGACTAGTGGTCTGATGTATTACAATTTTTTCAGTTCAGATCTGTGTGAAATTCTGAGCCAATATTCAGATAGTTCTTATTTCCATTTTGTGAGCTTGTCACTTTTTATTTGGAAAATTTGTTCAGAATTAAAAAGTTCAGAATTAAAAACACCATAATTTTACAAAACTTTTGTTTTGTAAAATTATGGTGTTTGATTTTTTTTTACGATAAAAAATTATGTGTAAATTTTCTTTTTGTAATAATATAATGATATTGAAAATTAGTATAATTTTTTACTTAAACTTTATTTAAAATTTATTTTATATCATGTTATTCAATATTTTATAACAAGATTTTTTCAAATTATTTTGAAAAAGATTTTTAAACATAATTTAAAATTGTAATAGAAAAAAAACAAACTTAGCATAAATATATTTGTATTGATTTATTTTAAATTTAAAAGTAATATTTTTATAATTAAAAATGAGAAATTAGAAAAAGAAGACTAGAAAATGTGAACAAGTTACTGAAGTTTCAATTCAATTTTAAATTTGAACTTGAAATTCAAATGAACAAATTTTTTTCTTGGCAAAGGGGCTCTTTTTTTATAAAGGTTTGTGTTTTGGATTTAAAGAGTTGAGAGAGGGTTGTAACCACAATAGCCTCCTCAAAGTGTTGTAAACCTCAAGGTAGCCTCTTCAACTTTAAGGGCTTTCTCAGCCTTGGGAGACGAATAACATAAAAGATAAAATAGTAACAATCTATAAAAATATTTGAATAAAAATTGTGATAATGTATTTCCAAATAATGATTCAAATATTAGTAAATCTTCTCTGATAGCTGTTATTGTTGGTTATAATAGTTAATAATAATAGTTAATAATGTAATAGTTATGTTAGTGTTGGTTATAATAGTTCATAAAATTATAAAATTTAAAAAAAAACCCAATAAAACCCATATATCCTAGGTTTTATTGGCTTTTTTTTGAGTGGGTTTTATTGGGTTTTTTGGGCAAGTTTTGTAACCACAACAATCCACAATAACCATTTTCTCTTATTCGACGACAGATTGGAGACTTTCTGCTCTTAACAAAACATAATAGAGAAGAATGCAATAGGTCTTTCTTTTTGGCTAAGTGTTCCATTTAAGAAGTCTCAGTTTCAATTTTGAGTAGTATTTGAATACGTTGTTGATAAAGATGCAGTAGTTAGTTGGTCCTTATGTTGTTTAATTAATTATCTAAATTAATTATCTATTCAATTAATTATTATTAGAAGCCAATTCGCCAAATTATTTTTTCAAATAAGTTTAAAATATTTTTACTTATTGAATTGTGAGAATCAGTCAGTTGAGTAGTTAGATTGTTGCAGATAGTGATTTAGCATAATATCAAAAAAGCTTATCAAGCTGTTTAATTGTTTAAATTTGGTCAGAATAGGATATTGTTTTTGCCTTTCACAATCTGGTTTCTATTAAATTTTCCATTAAATGTCTTTTTCTATTGAATGTACTTTTCTATTTAATGTCCAAGAAAATGAAACAAGGTTTAAGAAAACTCAAACTTTTGATTGTTTATTTCATTACTAAATCATTTGCTGCTGCTTTAAATGCTGTGAGGGTTCTGTTATGTTCTTCTTAATTGGATCTGCATATAATAAAATTGTCTAGATAATAACATTATCTAAAAAACTCCTTTTTGTACATTTAAGTAGGAGTTTTTAACATTTGAAGAACTTTTCATTTGATAGAAAGTAAATAATCTTTCTCTTTAAGTGGGATTTGGAGGTAGGCATTTATAGCCTGCCACCCTATATGTGTGTTTTATTTGGTTATTTTGGTTTTATGCTGTTGTTTTATTCCTTTTTTTCCACAGATGTTACAATAATACATGTTGAGTTTTAAGCACTGAAGTAAGATTTTTGTCGTTAATCTTCACACCAAATACAACAGTATTTTATAGCAGCAAAGATAGTACAATGTAAAAGTTGGGGAAAAAGTTGTAGTGTCTTCGATTGCATTTTTCATAGTTGCTGGATGATTTTAGTTGGTGCTGATGAATCATTGAAGATATACATGCAGCTACATTGCATCAGATTTCTCTATGCTCATTTGCGGTTAATAGTTTTATAAGGGCATTTTCTTATTAAGATTTGTAGCTTTTCCATTAATTAATTTAGCAGCTATGGCACAGTGGTAGCGCACTTGCCTCAAAAACAAAAGATCTGTGGTTCAAACCCCATCTCTGGGCAAGTTTTGCAACATCGGTTAGGAAAGAGGTGTGAACTTCGAATTAAATGCTTATCTGCGCTGCTCCGTGATAAGACCAGATTCTGATTTAAGTTGTTTTGTTGATTTTAACTTGTGACACATCATTATAGATGTAGTTTTTTTTTGAAAATTTATTTTTCACAACTGTTAGTACATTTTCAAAGTTTATTTGATTCTCGATAAGTTGGGAAGATTGTAGTGATGTAGAACACCATTTAAAACAAATAGAACAAATAGTTTGTGTCATTGACTTTTATGATATAAGTTTGTAACATCTTTCACAATATAAATATTTTTTGTCAGTTCCTCTTTAAGAGTTTTTCCAAATTTTTCATGATCCATTGTGATAATAAGATGTATAATAAATATTATTGTAAACCAAGACAAATATAAGTTGTATGTTATTAATTAGGTTATTGTGATATATTTAAAACATACAATAACACAACTATACATAGTATGTATAATCTAAACATAAGATAAAATATAATATCACAGATATAAATAAAAATAAACAAGCAAACAAAAAAATGCTATAAAAATACTAAATTCTTTTTAATTCTAACAAGTTCAGAAATGGTGACACATGTTTACATTGCAACACAGAAACATGCAGAACACTAACTTTTTTCTATTTTATTTATTATTTATCAATTATATTTTTTGTTTAACTTTTTTTGTTTAAGGGCAACACATAAGAGTTATATAAAAGTGAGTTTGTTTAATAAAGTTTTTCACAATGACGCAATAAAAACTTCACATTACTTTATTCATAGTTAAAAAAAGACAAAGGTTTTACTTCTAGTCCTTAAGTTAATAAAAATTTTACTTTTATTAACTAATATTTAAAATAACAATAATTGAAGCAAAATTTAACATTTACTATGAAAACAAGTCATTTGTTCTTTAATACTATGAAAACAAGTCATTTGTTCTTTAATACTATGAAGATAAAATTAAGATATAAATCTTTTGAAGGTATTTCATACCTGAAAAACTGGTAAAAAATCTTTTTGTTTTTTTCTCAGCAACGTCTAAAGCCAAAAAATTAGAATTAAAAAAAAAGTATTATATTAAGGTAATAAATAACTTAAATATGAATAAATTTGTTAACAGTTTAAATAAATACATAACTTAAAATTACCAAGTATTGGTTTCCTTTTTTCTACAAAACAAAATAGTTTTTAATCTTTGATGAAACATATTACATGCTTTGTTTTATATTATATATAGAACTGTATTTTAGGTAAATTAATAACAGAAACTCTAACATGAATTACCTACCTAACTCATACTGTTTGCAAGCTAAAAAAGAAAAATGATTTCTAAATAAACTGTAATATGAATCTGGCTTTATCAGAAATTAACAACAAATTGTTCTATAATACTGTGAAGTCATTTACTTAAAACTTTACAAGTAATTTGAAAATATTTTAAACGAATTAGGTGGTTATTAAAAAACTTAAAGGTCCTTTGAAGAAAGTAATAAAATTAATTTTAATAATAGTTAATTTATTGTTAAAAATAAGGTAATGATAACTCCATTTATATAATAATTATAAAATAACTCCATTTAGAGCGAAAACAAAATAAAATGTGTTTTTAGTTTTTAGTTTTAATTAAGTTGAGATTTTTTTTCGAACTTTTGTTTTTACAACTGTTTTAGCTTTTTTTTAAACTTTTTTAAATTTTAAAACTTTAAATTTTTTAAAGCTTTAAAATTATTAAAATTATAGAAGATTTAATCTAGGTACAATTTGCTATGTGGGCATGACCGCATTTGCTGCTGGCAAGTGGGTTGGTGTTGCTTTAGATGAACCAAATGGCAAAAATGATGGCTCAGGTAAAAGTTTAACTTCAAGAATAATAGTGTTTATACTGGCCTAACATTCATTATTTATCACTACAGCATTCTAGAAACTTTATATCTCAAGCTGTTTGATGCAAAAAGAAAGAGTTATTATTGTGATTATGATGATGTTGTAGTGGTAATGTTTTGGTGATAACTGAATAGTGTAAGTAGTTTATAGATAAATAGAAATAAAAAGTATATATTTTTTAAAGTAATTAATTTTAGTGCAAGGAAAAAAGTATTTTGACTGTTCTCCAAATCATGGTATATTTGTTCGACAAACACAACTTGCAGAAATTAATGATCAATTACAGACAACTACCTCAGGAACTATGTTACCATCATTACAGACAACTACCTCAGGAACTATGTTACCATCATTTTCAAGTGGAATATTAAGCCCTCGGAAAATTGGGATGACACCCTTAAAGGTTTGTGTATATAAAAACATTTTTTCTTCTCTGCAAGTTGTCTTTAATATAGCTATAGGACCAAAGAGTATGTATAATTGAGTATATATAATATAAATTATATATAAATTTATATATAAATATATAAATATATATAAATTTATGTAAGCTCAATCTTTAAATTAAAAGTAATTATATAAAAGTGTGTGTTTAGATAAAAAATTGAAACTAGCAAAATAGCTTAAATGATAAAGCTGTGTAAATACAAAGTAGATATATTACCTACTTTAGGTATGATATGTACAATAAGGTGGCTTTTAAAACAACACCTTAAGAAATGGTCTTTTTCCCCCTCTTCCTAATGTTTTCTATATAATAAAACACGAACACTAATTTTCAAAAGTTTTGAAATAAAAATAGTTAAACTGGTGCAAAAACATTAGTTTCATAGTATCAACAAACTTTCTCAAAATAATTTTAAAGTTATGTTGAGAAAGTTTAAAAAATTATTGCAATAAAATTTTGCATTGGCACTTTTCGCTAAACTTTTTATACTGGGCATTTCCATTTCTGAGGGTGGTTCTTTATTTTACTACTTAGAAGTTGGTTTTTCCAAAGATGATATTTTAAGAATGTTATGTATTAGAGTTGTAAATAAAAATATACAAAAAGAAAATCACAATGATTTCCAAAATGGCTGTCACCATATTACTTGGTTACAGTCCAGTAATTTTTATTTACAAATCTTGTAATGTTCTCAAATCATAATCATTTAGAAAATCAGAAACTAGGTTTATTATAAATTCAATAATTTTTATTTACAAATCTTATAACATTCTCAAATCATAATCTTTTAGAAAATCAGAAACTAGGTTTAAAAGAAAATCAGAAACTGGGTTTAAAAGAAAATCAGAAACTGAGTTTAAAAGAAAATCAGAAACTAGGTTTAAAAGAAAATCAGAAACTGGGTTTAAAAGAAAATCAGAAACTAGGTTTAAAAGAAAATCAGAAACTGGGTTTAAAATAAAATAAAAATTTTTACATCATAATTAGAGGCACAACCACAAAAACAGCATTTATAAAGCAAGATTATTTATTCATTTTAAAACCATAATTTTTTTTTATCTCAAGTAAACTCTTCTACAGCTTGTGGTCCAGACAACATTTTCGTCATTCAAAAGTGTTTTCCAGGACGCTCTTTTAATCCTTTCTAAACTATTTAATAAGTGCTTGACTGGATCTTGTTTTCCTGGGTGCTGTAAAATAGCATCTGTAGGTCCAGTTTTTAAAACTTCTGGAGAAAATTCTGACCCCTACAACTATCGTTTAATTCGTCTTCTCTTCTCTATAACTAGCAAGGTCTTTGAGTCTTTCACTGCTGTGAATAAAAGATTTGTGCATTAGGTTGAAGTGGTTTTATGCTATTGCTTTTAGCATATCTAAAAGATTTGTGCATTAGGTTGAAGTGGTTTTATGCTATTGCTTTTAGCATATCTAAAGCTTTCAATAAAGTTTGGTATTCTCCATAAACTTAACATTCTCCTTTAGAAAGTTTTTCAGACAAATCATTTCTTTTTAACTGTTATATTAAAGTCTTCCTTGACGGTCAACACTCTTCTTCAATTCTAGTAACTTTTGAGCTACATCAAAGTTCTATTTTTGGTCCTGTTTTGTTTCTTATCTGCATTAATGATTTTCTTGACAAACTTACATCTAAAGTATTTGCTGACAACTTAACTTTATAGTCCTGTCTTGTTAAAAAGTCTTTTCAATTGCTTTGAACAGCTAACTTGATCTGAATCTCATTTCTGTAACATATCATTCAAACAAAACTCATTATGGCAAACAACTCTTAAAATACTGTTGACATTCCATTATTAATGAATGGCAACCCTCTCACTGAGTCTTTATGTTGAGTCACTGAGTCTTCTTGAATTATTGTTCACCACTGTCCATTTATGGAAACCATATATACAATCCATTGCAAAGTTAGACAATGTTTACAATGTAGACTTTGTCCGCATTGTAAATGTAGTTGGATCTGCTTTATTGGCTGGATCCTTCTCTTTCATTGTCCTAAATACTAGAAAGCTGTATATTTAAGTTGGCCATAGTTTTCATGGTTACCATGTATTATTTTATTAAAAAAAGATTTAATTAGTTTTATTTTATTGATTAAGTTTAATTATTCACCTAAACTAAATTTACAATCGATTTTGTTTTGTTTATTAAAAATTTAAAAAATGCTTTTAGAGCCAACCTGCTCCACAATCAGGTCTAGTGACACCTAAAATTTCTTCATCAGCAGAAACAGTGTCTACATCCTCTTCAATTCAAAATGTGTTAGAAGCATCTAATGAAATACCTGTGGCAACGCCTGTGGCAACTTCAGAGAAAATAAAATCAGGGCTTGCAAAACCCAAGTTAGGCAAAATATCAAACTTGGAGGAATTAACTCCACCTAAAGAAAGTAATTTACCTGGAAAACCAAAGTTAATACCAGGGTTAAATACACAACGCCCATCTAATACTCAGTCAGAATCTAGCATTCAGGTTGATCCCAACATTCAATCTAATAATCAGCGTTCTAGTTTTATTTCAAAACGTGGATCAAATCTTGGATCCCAACCAACAGAAATACCGGAGACAACTAATGAGAGTTTGAATGTTGATTTAATGCAAAAGAGCGTAGAACCTACTCTTCAAGCATCTCGTGTTCCATCAGAAGAATTTTTAGAACTTCAGAGAAAGTTGATTGAAAAAGAAAAAGCAAATTTAGACTTGGAAGAGAAGTTGAATGTTCTGAAACAAAAAAGAATTGCAGATCAAAACAAAATTAAAGAAATTGACAAGATTAAGATGCAGAATCAGCAGGTATGTTGTTGCTAGGTTGTTGTTACTATGTATGTTGTTGCTAGGTTATTTCAAATATATAATTCTTCTTTTTTATGTATTTTTTAACTTTTCAGCATTTTTATTAGCTTTTAGAATACAAAGCAAAGTGGCAAGAATCTACAAGAGAGCTCCAAATGCAAATTAAAGCCTTACGAAATGTAAGTTTCAACTGCAAACTTGAAAATTTTGTAAAAATCTTTTAGTTCAATAGTATTGTAGTTTTATTATTTTTAATTTTTTAGTTTGAGTAGTTTTAGTAGTTGTTCTATTAATAATATTTTAAAAAAGTAATTAAACTATTTTAACCATTACAACTCTAACCATTAGTATTTACCATTGTAATTAACAACTTACCATTAAAATGTAAACCATTAATACTTACCATTGTATGTACCAGCTTACCACAAAGCCAAACTACCATATACTTACCAATGTAGTTACCAAACTACCTTGTAGTTTTGTACTCACAATTTTTTGTAAATAATATAATGCAAATAAAGTTCTTAATTTTTTATTAGGAGGCTAATGATGCAGATAATCTAAAAGGGCAAAATGAGCTTAATGAACTACAGGAGGCTGTTGAAATGGCTACACTTGATAAGGAAATGGCAGAAGAAAAAGTAATTTTTTGTCCTTTTTTATCTAATATTTGATAAAAGTATTTTAGCTTTGCCCTAAACTGAAAAAATTCTGGTAATTTTAAAAATAAATTTGATACTTGATTCTATTTTGTGTGCTCTAAAAAGCTGAAAACATTTACAATATTTTTGGGTTGAGGAATCTAATGATTCAATATAAAGCATTTTAAAAACAACATTAAGTTTACAGGTTTATAAGTTTACAGAACATTAAGTTTATAAATTTATAAACATTTTTTTGTGTAAGTAGTAAATATAAATGTTCACACTAAAGCAATTGCTCCAAGTCACCTCAATATATTTATTAAATAGTTATGAATATTAAATAATTATAAATATTAAATAATTATAAATATTAGATAATTATAAATATTAAATAATTATAAATATTAAATAATTACAAATATTAAATAATTATAAATATTAAATAATTATAAATATTAAATAATTATAAATATTAAATAAATTTTAAAAATGCTGATGTAGCTTAATTTATCTCAAACTCAAAAAAGTTTTTAATTAAATTAATAAAATCATTCATTCATTTTGTGTCATAGACTGAAAATGAATGAATGGTTCATCGCAGTTCATTTATTTTATGTCAAACATGAATAAAAAGACAAAAAAAACTTTTGAGATAATCTATGCGGTACCATAGACCAATAAAGTTTTTTTTGTTTTTATAATGTGCAGAACATTTGACAGAGAAATAATAAGTTTTGTATTCACTAAATTTTCATTAATGTACATTACAATTTATTTTTGCCATTCACATACAAACAAGTATAATAGATAATAGTTATTGTTATCACTTAAAATACTGAGCAACTTTTACTTCATATAAGGTTTAAAGGGGTCTTTGAAATATATAACTATTGGATGTAAAATACTTTGTTTTTAAAGAGATTCCTAAGTGGTGAGACAATTTTTTTTAAAGATTTATATCCCAGTTATACTTATAAACAGTTTGCTTTTAGAAAAAGTAAGTATTTTGTAAATGAGTGTACTATTTGGTATAGTGCTTGGCAACCAGTGGAAACCACATCTGGTTTTGTTAAGTTTTCTTGAAACTGAAAATCTATTTTTTTCTCTAAAAAAACCTGTCGTTAATTATACAATACTAAATAGATTTTTTTAATGTCAGTTTTATTTAGATTTTTTATACCAATTATTAATGTTATTTTACCAATTATTAATGTTATTTTATAATTATACCAATTATTAATGTTGTATCTTTTAACATACATTTACATTTTAGTTATAATAGTCAAGACTTACAATAATCAAAGCAAAAAAATCCTTTAAATTGAAGTATTTTAAAGTATTTGTATTTTGAAAAATATTTTATATATTTTTCATATATATATATGTTTGTTGTTTCATTTCATTTGTTCTTTAACTTTTTATTATTGTTGTTCAAATATGTTAATTTGAGATTGTTAAGTCTCAAAATAAAATAATTAAACAACAAAAACAAATTTGTTTTCTACAAATTTGTTTTTATAATTTTTACTTTTGTACTACTTTAAATGTTATAAATTTAAATGTTATAAATTTAAATGTTATAAATTTAAATGTTATAAATTGTATTTTTACATAATACTTTTATAAACAGATAACATCCATAGTTTTCAGTTGAGAATAATATATTCAGTTAGGTTATTGAGTTGATACAAAAAAAAAGTATTGGAAAGGAAAAAAGAGGTTTAAAAAAAAAATGATCCAAGTTCATTAGATTCAAACTAAATTAATAATGAATAAAAAAATATAATAATGATACTGTACATTGATAAAAATTGTTTTTATTGTTCATTGATAAAAAAAGTTTGATTGATGAACAAAATTAAATTTTTTTATTTTTTAAATATGAAAAATTTTCTTTAGTTTACAGATATAATTGCAGTATTGATTTTTTTTTTTTTTTTTTTACCACTACCGCAATAACCGCAAAAACATTTGTACAGCAATAAAAATTTGCTTTTATAACAAAAAACGCTGTAAAACCAGTTACCCGGTTATACAATTCAAAAAAACAAAAAACAATTTTTTGAAATTTTTCGTTTTTATCAATCCCTAATTTGGTATATACATAAGTTTTAGCATTATTTGGATATGAGAATAAACAACAACAATCATATCTCTGTCAGTCAGATCTCTGTCTCTGTCAATCTGCTCTGTCAGTGAAACAAAGTCTTGGGTAATTGAAAATGCGTAAATTTTACAAGAGCATCTCTATAGTTTGTGTCTTCTTATAAAAATCCATAAAAAGCGGAATATTTTTGTGCTCTAATTACTAGGAGATATTTTATTGAACCAGGTTGTATGTTAAACTAAAATCATCTTGCTCAGAGACTCTTTGGCATTTATGTTGCATCTTGAGGAATAAATTGATGAATCTATATTTTATACTAGGTATTTTCTTTACATTATTAAATCAGAGAGTCAACAATTTACAACATAACTACTCTATTTTGGCTTTAACTAAAAAAATTTAGAAAATTCAATTTTACACTAAGGGTTTTATTTGAATTCACCAATTAATTCCCTTAGATTGGAAAAAAAATTTGATACGCCTTGATTTTTGAATAAACATTTTTTTCCAGGTAATTGCAACTAAACTAATCATTTCAATAAAAGGTTTTCACTGCTATCAGTTTACTTGTGGTATCTAGCCTAATTATAACAATACTTGTTTTTCTGGAAGTCCTTTTTTTTCTTTTTATGGCTGTTATGGTTGTTTTTGCCATATTAAAACTTCAACTGCTTTCCATGAAAGCCATTAATCAAGACTAAAGTCAAAACCTAAATTTTTTCCTTTCTGTTTGCAGTTATTAGTATTTCTTAAATTGATTCCACTTATCTAGCTCATAGGCTTTATTCAATTATTTAACACCTGGCTCTTCAGTAATTTCACTTTTCAGATGGCATCAGTAGCTGACGTTAATTTTCTTTTGTTGATCAAAATCTTTGCATGTTGTGGAAATGAAATTGTTTTTGTGGCATATCTAATGTATTGTGTTAAAATTGATTAATTAATAAGTTCTTTTATTAGTGCAACTTTTATCTCTTCATCCAAAATTTTTTCTAGAGAATCATTTTTATAATTGTAGTCCTTAATGTTGACTAATTATTTATTTATTTATTATTTATTTTTATATGCATTTTAAATATACAGTTTTTTTATCTATAATAAACACAAAATACATCGCTTAAACAGTATTTCAAACTGAAAAAAAGTGAAAGAAATTATTTTTCGTATATAGTGAAGTTTTAATTAAACAGTTTTTTAATTTAATAATGGTTTTATTGTAGTTTTAAAAACAGTCCTTAAAAAATTCACCTTAGAATTTTTTTTTTATCATATAAAATTAGAGAAAGATCATTAACTTTTAGAACTGTTAAATTAACTTTAAGCAACTGCTAAAAGTTATCTTTTAAATAAACTTTCATGCGAATTTCATTACTTGTTTGTTAAAAAATGATATTGAAAAGATCAACTACATGTTCTAAAGTTGGAAAATGTCGAAAAAATAATTTATATTTAAAAAACATTTTTTTCTATTTTGAAAATTACTAATAAATGTACTATATCTCACTTTTTATTATAGTATGAAAGTTTGCTACAAGAACATGAGCATTTAAAAGAAAAACATGAAGAAGTAACTTTAGAATTGGAAATACTCAAAAACGAGATCAGTGAAGGAGGTTTATTGTTATTCAATTTAATATATAATTAATTGAATTATTTTTATTATTGATACAATTTTTTAAATACTAAAAAATGATATCATCAATGAAATTGATTTCAATGTCAAGCTTTTAGCTATATTTTTAAGTAATTGCGCTGCTTTTGATTGATATTTTAATTCATCTAATATATAACTGTGATATTTAATTCTTACTTTAAAATTTATTAGGTGTAGGGACTGTTGCTGCAAATGCTGAACTTAAGCAAATGGAGCAACAGAACATTCGACTGAAAGAAGCTTTAATCAAGTAAGTAGAGATTTGCAGCAAAAAAAAATTTTTCTTTGAAAATTTTTTCAACTATTGAATTCATAAATCAATGTTTCAGTTATATAATGCATTGTACAAGGGTTTTCTTTAAAAGCACTCATTCAATATTCTCAACTGTATATGTAGTTAGAGGGTTTCCTAAACAGGACTTTTCTTCAAAACTTTTATTTTTGAACAAAGCAGCCAACTTGGCAAATGTACTAAATAATGGTGCTTAGTTACCATAAACTAATACTATTTGATTGGTTAATGGTTTATGATGAAACTCTGAGTAGGGCACACTTTTTTTGCAAGTTATTTTAATTTTTTGCAAGGTATTAAAATTTTATTTTTTTAAAAATTTAAGTATTAATAAAATTTCAATAACTTACAAAATTTTACATAAAACATTCAGTATTGAAGGAATTTTTATCTTAAAGGTTGAAGGATTAATTTTTATCTTAAAGATTGAAGGATTAATTTTTATCTTAAAGGTTGAAGGATTAATTTTTATCTTAAAGGTTGAAGGATATTGCTCAAAATGATAAGTCCGAGCTTTCCAATTCTCAAAAAGAAAATAAATCATTAAACCAAAAATTATCTGCAATTGCAAGTGAGAGAGACACACTACAAGAAAAGTTGAGACATATGGAATCTCAAGTTGACGAATTAAAGGAGCAGGTAAACTAAACAAACTATAAAAAATATAACAAAATAAAAATTTAAATGATTTTAAATTTATGTTTCTAATATTTGTTTTTTAGGTGGACTTTGCACTTGGAGCAGAAGAAATGGTTGAAAAATTGACAGATAAGAATCTTGAACTAGAGGAGAAAATAGAGCAGTATGAAGAAACCATCAAAGATCTGGTTATTTATTAATTTGTTACTATTTATAATTTTTTGAAAAAGTTAACTGCATTAAAAAAAAAAACAAGCATAAAAGTAAGAGATTTTAACAAAGAAAGGCTGAACAAGGATAAAGAGATTTTAATATTTTCAAACTTTATTTTGGCATACTGGTTTTTTCCTTATAATTTTTTTATAAAGTACCTAAGAGAAAATTATTTTTTTCTTTATTTTTTAATAGTTGCAATTCTCTCTTTTTTTTAGATTGTCTTTCTTTCATTTTGTGATGATTTTAACTTTCCTTCATTTCATGATAATTTTGAATTTCATTCATTTTGTGATGATTTTGACTTTCCTTGATTTAGTTATAGTTTTTTCTTTCTAGTAGTCTGGACCAGCAAGTGCGAAACATCAGATAATTTAATAAATGTTTATGGTCTAGCAAAGAATTTAACATCCACACATAATATCAAAGTGTTGTTAAAAAATCTTTTGGTTTTTAGAAGACATAATAATATATGTTTATTTTTTATATTTACATTTTTTTTTTTTTCTCAACACTCTCAATAAGGCTGCAAGCAACCATTAATTAATCGCCAACAACAGAGCTGCAAACAATCACTAACAACAGGGCTGCAAGCAACTACTAATTAATAGAACTGTAAATAACCATTATTTAATCACTAACAACAAGTCTGGGAATTAAGTTGGGAACAGGAAATAAAGAAGAAAGTTAAAGAGTCAGAACAAGGACAGAATTTTTTTTTTCTTTTTACATTTTTTTTACATGAGAGGTCAGTGGTTTACATGAGAGGTCAGTGGTTTACATGAGAGGTCAGTGGTTTACATGAGAGGTCAGTGGTTTATATGAGAGGCCAGTGGTTTACATGAGAGGTCAGTGGTTTACATGAGAGGTCAGTGGTTTACATGAGAGGTCAGTGATATATAAAAATCCTAGAAGACAAAAGGACTCCAATCTTTAAAAGGTTAGTGGTTTACATGAGAGGTCAGTGGTTTACATGAGAGGTCACTGGTTTACATGAGAGGTCAGTGGTATATAAAAATCCTAGAAGACAATAGGACTCAAATCATTAAGAAGTCAGTGGTTTACATGAGAGATCAGTGGTTTGCATAAGAGGTCAGTGGTTTACATAAGAGGACAGTGGTTTACATAAGAGGTCAGTGGTTTACATGAGAGGTCAGTGGTTTACATAAGAGGTCAGTGGTTTACATAAGAGGACAGTGATTTACATAAGAGGTCAGTGGTTTACATGAGAGGTCAGTGGTTTACATAAGAGGTCAGTGGTTTACATAAGAGGACAGTGATTTACATAAGAGGTCAGTGGTTTACATGAGAGGTCAGTGGTTTACATAAGAGGTCAGTGGTTTATATTAGAGGTCAGTGGTTTACATAAGAGGTCAGTGGTTTACATGAGAGGTCAGTGGTTTACATGAGAAGTCAGTGGTATATAAAAATCCTAGAAGACAATAGGACTCCAATCATTAATATAGGAGTGTTGCCAATCATTAATATAAGAATGTCAACAGTATTGCGATAGTTGTTTGCAGTAAATAATTGAGTTTGGTTTAAATTCATAAGCAACTTTAAGTCCCAAGCTGTTACAGTAGTGAGAATAGCTTCAAGATCAGCATCCTGTTATAAACCATCAAATAGACTTTTTGTCTGGAGTATAAAGTTGAGTCGTCAGCAAATAGAGCCATTTTAGATCTAAGATTGTCAGGAAGATCATTAATTGTACCCCAGAAATTACTGGAAATAAAGAAGAGTATTGGTCTTTGAGGATGACTTTAATAAAGTTGTTAAACTTTCCCAGATACACCAAATGAAGCAAGTTTTAGGAGAAGACTAGCATGCCAAACTTTTTTGAAAGCTTTAGATATATCAAATGCAATAGCTCTTGCTTTGGTGCAGTCACAGCAATTAGCAAGTTAGCCATAGAACTAGAAGATCAAAAACCATATTGATTCTCAGAGAGTAAGTTATTAAACTCAGGATAGAATATTAGAAATTAAATTTAATTCAGATAAAACTCAATTTTTTTCAGCCAACAGCTATCACAATAATTTGAATCGTCCTATATTTATGAATGGTAATGTACTTGATGACTTGTCTACCCTTCGTCTTCTAGGACTAACGTTTACTTCCGATATTTCTTGGTAACCATATATCAAATCTATTGCAAAATTAGTATCTGCTAAGGTTGCATCTCTTTATTGTGCTTGACACTTGCTTACTACAGATTCTATTCTTTATCTGTATAAATTGCAAATCCGTCCTTGTATGAAATACTTTTGCCATATCTATTGCGGATCTTCTAACAATGTCTTTTCTCTCCTAGACAAGGTGCAAAAATACATTGTAAACATAGTTGGACCTGCAACAAACCTCCAACCATTATCACATCGTTGTTATGTTGCTTCTCTTTCTCTTTTCTACAAATACTATAATGGGCACTGCTCTCATTCAATTAAGTCTCATCTCTTTTCTGTGACTGTTCCTAAGTGCCACAAAAACTCTTATTCTAGTTTTTTTCCTCGAACAACAGCTCTTTGGAATTCGCTTCCTTCATCTTCCTTCATCCTGATTCATATAATTTACAATCTTTTAAGCTGTCTGTCAATTGTTATGTTACTCTATAAATTTCATCATTTCTCTTTTAGTAACTTTTAACTCTAATAGCAATTTCTTGCAGCCTTGTAGAAAGCAAAGATGTTAAAAAAAAATTTTTTTAATTAAAAAAAAAATTTTGCTTTCTGGTTTCCATTGGAACATTTTACTTTCTGATTCTATATAGAACATTTTAATTTTTTCTATAAGTATCAATATTATGTTATATGGTTTACATAAATTTTTTTAAAAAGTTATTGAAGTAATTTTTTTAATTTAACAAACATGTTTTTGTGTATAAGTCTATGTTATTTTTTATTATTTTATTATTTTTTATGTTATTTTTTATTATTTTATTATTTTTTATTATATTATTGTTGAATTTCTAACATAATTTTTTCTACTGAGAGTAAATTATAAATGACAAAGGTTGTGATAAAAATCTAACAAACTGTAAAAACAATAAATAAATACATATCAAGAAATATATAAATATGCGTTAAAAATACAAATAAATATCAATCATAAATAAATATGTATAAATAGTATCCAAATATTATAGATGGTATCCAAATATTATGGATGGTATCAAGGTTATTTATATATAATTTGTAGTTATTAGTATATATACTAGTATATATATATATATATATATATATATATATATATATATATATATATATATATATATATATATTAGTATATATACATAATATATATATATATATATATATATATATATATATATATATATATATATATATATATATATATATATATATATATATATATATATTAGTATATATACATAATATATATATATATATATATATATATATATATATATATATATATATATATATATATATATATATATATATATATATATATATTAGTATATATACATAATATATATATATATATATATATATATATATTAGTATATATACATAATATATATATATATATATATATATATATATATATATATATATATATATTAGTATATATACATAATATATATATATATATATATATATATATATATTAGTATATATACATAATATATATATATATATATATATATATATATATAGATATATATATATATATATATTAGTATATATACATAATATATATATATATATATATATATATATATATATATATATATATATATATATATATATATATATATATATATATATATATATATATATTATGTAATTTATACATGTTTTACTATTTATATGAATTATATTTTTCAATTTCAAATTCAATTTAAACACTCTAATATAGTTTCCGCTATAAAAATACATCCTAAAATAGTCATAAGATACCTGCTTAAAATAGTTGATATTTTAATGCTTAATAATAGCTAATATTGTCATAAGTAGTCAATCACCTGCTTAAAATAGTTGTAGGTAACTGTCTATTAGTACAATGTATTCTTATTTTAGTGTGACATTACTAAAAGTTCAGTATGACATTTTCACTTACGTTGTATGTTGACCTATATTATCAATAAAACTTTAGGTAAAAAATTATGATTTCACTTGATATTATTTAAAATTTCAAAAATTTTTTCTTCTTAGGAAGCTCTTCGTGAATTAAATACAGAATTGGAAGAAGGACACATCATGACAGAACAAGATTTAAGAGAAGAGTTAGAGTTAGCAGACAAAAAAATAGATGAGGTTAAATATATATATTTTTTAATGGTAATTCACCTCCTCAAGGTTGAGAAGGCCACTACAGATGAGGAGGCTACTCAATAGTGGTTATAACCCTCTATAACTGCGAAAACTCTTTAAATGCGAAACACAAACCTTGACAAACAAGGTTGCTGCGCGGAGAAACAAGTTGAGCGCAATACTACCAGGAACTTGGTTGGGATTGAACTTGTAATCTTTTGCTTATGAAGCAAGCGCTCTACCAATACACCACTACCACATTTTTAGTTTTAGTTTTCTTTTGAAGATTTTTTAAGTATTTTATTTTGAAGTATTAACAGCTTTAATTTTTTTTTGATTAAAAATATAGATAAATCATATAAATCAGGATTTGTTAATAAAATCTGAAAAAAAAAATCTCTTGAGTAAACCTTTCAAATAAAGAAAGTTTGTGTATGTGCATATATATATTATACTTTAATGGTTGAAAGCCATACTTCTTGCTATCATCTAAAGGCTGACATCATATAAACATTATAGTGGTAGTGGTGTAGTGGTAAAGTGCTTGCCTCATAAGCAAGAAGTTCCGAGTTCGATCCCCACCATACCCATGGTAGTACTGCGCTCAACTAGCTTCTCTGTGCAGTGGCCTTGTTCATTATAGTTGGTGTTTCAGAGTTATAGAGTTGAGAAATGGTTGTAACCACAGTTATAGTAGTCTTTTCGACTGTAGTGGTCTTCTCAGCCAGTACAGTCGAGGAGACTGCTATAATTGTGGTTACAACCCTCTCTTAACTCTAAGAGGTAGGGAGGTAAATTAACATTAAAAAAAAAAGGCATTATTATACCTTAGAATTTGTTTACTTTAATTTGTTAATTTCATTGTTAATTTCTTTTTAGTGAGAAATTTTTAGCTGTTATTATCATATTATTATTTTTTTTTTATAGTATGAGAAGCAACTAGCTGCCCATGTTGAGCAGATAAGTGATTATCAGTCAACCATTTTAAAGTTCAGAGAGCTCGTACAGAATTTGCAGGTGCGGATTTTTTAAATTGTTAAATTTTTTAAAACTAAGATAAATGCATAATTATTTTATTAGTTGTCTTTATAATAATGTTAATAATTTTAGTATTCTGAAATAGTTTTTCCCAAATAAAAAATAAAAGATTATGGCTAACACTTTTTTAACTATTTTTTATATTTAACTAATAAAAATATTTTTTTTGTGCAAAAAAAATGCAGATTTTCCGTTAAATTTCTCTGAGATGAAGGACCACTGTTGTCCAAATTTTTTTCCTAGAACAGGCTCTGATAACATGTTTAACTACATAACATGTTTAACTGCATAACATGTTTAACTGCATAACATTGTATTGATAATTGTTTTGGAATAAAACTCTTTAGCCTTAAAAACCTTTAATGTTCACATATAAGAAAATATACAGAATGGTATTTTGCAAGTTATCAAATTAAATTATATACTCCTCTAATTAGAAAAATTAGAGGAGTATATATTTCAGATATTTAAGCCATGTTTTCAGTAAAAACATGGCTTAAGCATCTTAGGTTATAAAAATACATTAAACTTTTTAATATGATACAAAACAGGTATTTTACTCATCTGCTTCCACTGACATAAAAGATTCTTATACTTTTATATCTCCATAACAAAAATAAAATCATTATATAAAAAATTTATTATTTTAATATTTAATTATAAAATAAAAAGAAAGAAATCAAACCCTAATTTTAATAGTCATGAGCTAAATAACTTTCCCTTAGTTTACTCTTTTTCTTTTAGAAGATCAAATGATTTAAGTTTTTAAATACTTTCTTGTATAAATTAAATGCAAAAGTGTAAAAATCAAATGGTACAAACATAAAAAAGATTAGTTATTAAAAAGCTTAAATATAGTTTAACTTTTGATTAAAAAAATTGTTTAGTTATGTCAATAGCTCTTTCCAAGTCAAACATCAAATCAATTCAGAATAAATTGAAAATTATTTGTGAACATCAAATGGTAGATTTGTAAACATCAGATGGTAGATATGTAATTATCAAATGGGAGATTTGTAAATATCAAATGGTAGATTTGTAAACATCAAATGGTAGATTTGTGAACATCAAATAGTAGATTTGCAAACATTAAATGGTAGATTTGTAAACATCAAATGGTAGATTTGAACATCAAATATCAGTTTAAGTCTTCATTAACTTGCTTACAAAGAATTTTGATTGTTTCAGGTTGTAAAACTTATCTTGTATTTGTTTTTTATAAGTTGACATCAAAAAATCAAGATAAATGTCTATATACTGATATTAAAATGATGTATTAGCTGAAATTTCTGTAATTATATTTGACAAATCGTTATCAGAAGTATTGATTCCTCAAAAGTATTCGATACAATCTCTCACACCTTATTAATCTTAAAACTGAAAGTTTTAAAAATTTGAAACTATTGGAAACCTTGCTTGAATTAAAGACTTCTCGTTTATAAAAAGCAGATGGGAGTAGGATTGAAGAACGATCATAGATTGTATCATACTGGGCTAATATTACTACACCTTTTCAAGATGTAATTGAGAACTTGAAAGTTGTAATTAAGAAAAGTAAGATGTAATTGAGAAATACAACATGTAATTTAGAAGTCGCAATACGTAATTAAGAAACACAGCATGTAACTAGGAAATTTTAAAATGTTATTGAGAAACCCAACATGTAAATAAGAAATCGCAATATGTAGTTAAAAAAACAAAAGTTGTAATTAAGAAATCGTAATATGTAAATGAGAACACATTTGTAATTGCAAATTCACAATGTAAGCTTAAAGGTCATTATAAAAGATCTTCTTGGAAATGCATTTTAATAAGTTAATTTAATATTTGTATGCAACAGCAATACAGTAATGAAATTATTTGTGCTTTATTTATTATTCATCTGAAATCTCAATTAAATTTTTCACAATTAAAAATAAAAGAAAGTTTTATTTGAGACCCAATAGCATTTTTCCAGTTACCGCCTAAACCTTAAATGCCTTTTTCATGAGTTGTTATATTTTATTGATATTATATTATTATTTCCAGCCTTAAATTACAAAGTATATTAGGACTACAAAATTCAAAATACAAAGAACTTAATACTCTTTATACTTTCCTTAATTACAACTATCATAATCTCAATTACACTTTATGATTTCTTATTTACAACTTTCATTTTCTCAATTACATCTAACGTTTCTTAATTACAACTTTTATCTTTTCAGTTACATCTTACTTTTCTTAATTACAACTTTAAAGTTTTCAATTACATCTTGAAAAGGTGTAGTGGTGTAGTGGTGTGACACAAGGCTTTATGATAAAAATCACATGATTTTTATTATTGGTTTATCATACATACAATAAGGATCAGTCCTAACCTTATTAAAATACCACAACGACACAATTATTTCCCTGAGATCATCTTTGCTACTACATTAAGATATTTAATTTTAGCACTTTATATTTTATATTTTTATCTTATTTCCCTAATTTTTATACAAGCATTTTTCGTTGCTATTTTGTTTTTAAATTTTATATCGATATTCTTGGTTTTTAACATAAAACATGTTTAAAATTTTTTAGATTTCAATTTTCTACATTTTTATATTTTTACAATAAAATTATTATTATTATTATGAATGTTTTTCTAAAAATAATATATATGTTTCCATAGTAATAATTCAAACAGAGAAAACGATATTATATATATATATATATATTCATTTTTCTTTGTTTGGATGAGTTTTTTTGCATAAGTATTTCACATATCTCTGTGAGCTTTAATTATTCAGTATAGTTCAAGCAACACAGTTTTCCTGTACTATATAAAAAAAAAATACCTGATGTAAAATTTTGTTAAAATATTTTTAGACTGATTGATTGAAGACTGATTATATTCATTAGCTTTATTATGGAAATGGTTACTTTGTTTATTAACTGATGACATGAACTGGTTCATTAATATTTTATGCATATGTTATATGACATGCAAGATTTCTTATTTTGGGGTTGTTATATATATGTAAAGTTAAGAACCATTTTTTACCACAAATGGAAATTTAATATAATATATATATATATATATATATATATATATATATATATATATATATATATATATATATATATATATATATGTAATGTATATATACAATTACTAATTTATGTGAAACTCGATTCTTAAACAAAGTGTTAATTTCTAACATTATGATTTAGTTTGATAGTCTATAGATTTTAAACTATATTTGTAACATAAAGATTTAAATTGTTGTCAATCAGATATTTTATGTTACCAATAAAACAAATGATATATAAACAATAATTAGTGCAAAAATATAAAAATAGCAATAAATAATAATAATAATATATATATATATATATATATATATATATATATATATATATATATATATATATATATATTTATATATATATATATATATATATATATATATATATATTAATTTTTATGTATATATATTAATTTATATATATATATATATATAATTTTTAGAATTGTATTAAAGAACTCCAATCAAATGGATCTTCTTCTCAACAAGTTGATCTTGACTCTACACCTGTACCAGATATTGATTTTAAGACAAAAATAAAGCAATACAAAAGGGTAGGTTTTATTTCTTAATTGTTTTAATTTAAAATATTTGAACATATAAAATATTTATTTTAATGCTTGATATTATTTTAAATAATATTTTATAATGAAAAATATTTTTTAGTTTATTTCATGTTTTATAATGAAAAATATGTTTTAGTTTATATCACTGTAGTATATAGTACCTTATTTTTACATTAAAATGTCTTAAAAATTTTGTGTTCTGCGAAGTATTACTTAACAAATTAGTAATCTTGAAAATTTTGAAGTTCTTATTGGATGATTTGTTTTTATACCATCGTTAGTATTTTAAATTATCAAAAGAACAGGGATGAACAGCAATGTCTAAAATATCCAAGGTTAAAAAAGGTCCAAGGTACCACTACTGCATTTTTACTTCTCCGTTCTAGAAACTTAATTTTAACATTGCTCACAATAAAACTTTGAAACTGTAAAATAGTATTATTATTACTGTGATATTAGTTTTAATAAAAAGTAATTAAATATTTAATAATAAAATTTCTTATTCTTGCATGACAACAACAACTAACTGTTGAAGTAGTGTTTAATTTTTTTTTTTTAAAAACCGCAATTTTATATTTCAAAATATCCAAAATTTAGAAAAGAACTTAAACCTTACCATGTCAGAATAGTTTTTACTACACCACCTACGTTTAAAAATATTTATGCAACAAGTC